TTCGTTCTCCCCTCCAACCGACGTGAGATCTCACAATCCATCCCCTCATAGGCCCAACGTCCTCGCTAGCACACTGTTTAGTATCTAGCTCAATACTAATGGTAACAACTCAAGCCCCCCACTAACAGATATTGTCATTTTTAAGCTTTCCTTGCCCCCCTCAAAGTTTTAAAACGCCTCTTATAGGGAGAGGTTTCAACACTCTTATAAGAAATGTTTAGTTCTCTCCGACCAACATAATCTCGTAGAACAAGTAGACATCTAAACTCAAAACCACCATAAAAAAAAAAAAAACAAGACAAAAAACAGAAAAAGCAGCAGCAGAAAAGCAAAGAACAAACCTCCACCATCATTCTTGGCAGCACCAAGAGATGCAGGGCTACTGCGTCTCAGAGCAGAATTGGGAAGAGACTTTGACTTAAGAGAAGAATTGGGGTTGGAATTAGGAGAAAAGGGCTTATCAAGCTTAAGAGAGTTTCTGGAATTGGCACCATTTCTATTACTAGTACCCCCAGAAGCGGCCATTGCAAGAGGGCACAGAAGATTTGGGAAAATGGGTTTACAAGATCATTGAAGAACAGCGTATTTTTGCTTTCAGAGAGACAGGGAGTGAGAGAAAACAACAATGGGACCCAAAAGAAGAGCCCCAAAATGCTGAAAACGAAGCGTGGGAGGTGCAAGAACAAGCAGTAGAAGTGGAAGTGGACCTTCGCCGTGTGGGGGATGGATGAGATTCTGTCAAATGCAAATCCAATACCCTTTTTTGCTTCCCTCTCCAAATTCATTCAAGCTCTGAGACAGGACGAGCAAGAAAAGGTGGGTAAACCAGACGCAATTGAAGAAGAAACCTCAGAATGGATCGTGTGCACAAACACGACGCCGTTTCATATTAACTAATTACGGATTCCGTCTCGTGAGAGTATTAACTAACAAAACCAATCACGTCGCATAACCCATTAACCATCATCATCTCATCATGGGCATCCGAATTTACCATTTTGACCTCACAGCATTTAAAAAAAAAACAAAATTCATAACATAAAAGATTCAAAGATTAAAATAATTACTATTTAAAATTGTATTACTAAATTTTATAATTCGACCCATTAGCCTCTAAGATGAAATTTAAACAGTCAATCTCAAGAATGGTACGTACGTGATGTTTAAATAGAAAGAGGAGTACATAAATAAATAAAAACTGCATTTGAATAAGACTGATTTTAATGATATGACAGTTAATCAAAAGGACCTTACAATCACTTCGAAGGCCCCTCAAAATCGTTCTTGAAGTACTTTTCTTGCTCAAGTTTGACTTTGTTGGATGTGTCGTTACACACCAATAATTCTAAAGTCATAGGGATAAGAGGACAAACAACAACAAAAACAAGAAAAAAGACAGAATGAAAAAGAAAAAAAAAATTAAAACTTTCGATCCATCAAAATAGCCTTAATCTTTTGTTGAATTTAAGGTACAATGTTGATCAAATGATTAAGTGGGCAAATTTTATGAAAAAAAAAAAAACATGATGACTAGATCTGGATGGAAGTTAGTTTAAAGGAGAAGTATTCCATTCTAAAAGTGACTTTTTTTTTTTTTGTTCTATTTAAAATAAATAAAAACAAAACATAATAGTCGAACAAATGTGACAAGTGCTCACTCCATGTATTGTTCGACACTAAATGTTTAAAGTATCACGATCCTATCGTGGTTTCTTTTAATATATTCTTATTTCTGTTGGGTTTCATGTGAGTTGATAATACAGTAATTGTGCACCATTTTGAAGGAGGAAGAAGAAGTTGTAAATTCTTTTGGAGATTTCTATTGGAAGCAATCCTTAGTTGAATTTGAGGGATATTCGTTATGTAATTCTATGTGACCGTTGTTTTGTGCTTAGAAGTCAAGGTAGTCATTTATTGTAGCTTTTGAGGGTGATTAATTATAGCGTGAGTTGAGGGTCGTTTATGATCTCCATGTTGGTTTTTCCGTCCAACACGTTTGCATTATATCAATGTAACTCGTTGATTAACACGTGTATCTTCAATCAGGAAGTTAGAAGTTTGATCCCTACTCTAAATATTGTGTTGAACTCAATGGGACGTAACATTGTCAACATATTTTTTTACACATAAAATTATGAAACAAAGTGGAGATTCAAATCTTCGATGATTTCGTTAGAGACAAAAGCGTCATTCATACATATTAAAAAAAGAACGGTGAACCCGTGTCCTATACATGTAATAGACATAAAACCAAACAAGTTTGGTTCAAGGTTTGTAACAACCCAATACCACAACTAGCTGATATTGTCCTCTCCCGATTTTCACTCAAAGTTTTTAAAATGCGTCTATTAACATACCCTTATGAAGAATGTTTCGTTTTTCTCTCCAACCAATGTGAGATCTCACCATCCCCTTCGGGGCCCAATGTCTTCGCTGGCACACCCCACTTCAAGGCTCAGCGTCCTCACTCGCACACTAACCCATGTCTACTCCCGTTCGGGACTCAGTGTTCTCGCTAGCACACCGCTCAGTATCTGACTTTAATACCATTTGTAAAAGTCCAACCCACTGCGAGCCAATATTATTCTTTTTGAGTTTCTCTTCTAAATTTTTAAAATGCATTTGATAGGGAGAAGCCGACTTCTGTCGGGCACAGCCACAACCAGACCCTTTTCTTCAGCTCCACCAATTTGCATACCTTAAGCATGTAGCTGCCTGATATCCACTAAACCAAGTGGCCTGTATTTCCTTTCACTTTACTTCACCCAGACTCTCATCCCTTTTAACAAACTTCATCTTCATGTTCATGTACTTCATGCCTTCATCCTTAATACTTCGAATCGAGTCCTCAACCACTTGAACTTAAGATCACGAATTAACCCAACTTAAAATAAACAGTTAGGTTGGTGATCCGAATGACTCGAATAAGATTAAGATCACTAATCCAATTATTTTAGAATTGCATGTTGATTCAATAAAAGTTAAATTCAATCAAACCCGACTGATGTATGCTCATAAAAAGAAGATATATCTTCTTTGCTTGACTTAGAAGATAGATATAAATGAGATATTAAAGAACAACCGACCTAATAGAGAAGAAAGGGTGAAATGAAAGCGAAAGCATAGAGACTTTATTGAGATATGCATTTTATGGTGATGCCTTTATTGTTGATAAAAGCTTGAATGTTGAAAGATTTATAAGGATTCGTTCACTAACATTGTCGTTTTTTGTTTTTTGTTTTTTATTTTTTATTAAAGAAAATCTTGCTTTTGTTCGTTACATTCTATTCCGAAAACATAAACACGTGCAATAGTTATTTCTTTTATTTTTTTTAAATTAAATATTAAAAAAAAGCTTATATTATATTTATAATGTACTTAAAAGTAAAAGTAATATATTTATTTATGTCTGGAAAAAAAAAACAAGAATCAATAAATTTGATTTTGTTGTTTTCAAAATTTTGAAAATGTTTCTAAATAATGAGAAACATCACCAAACAACCCTTAGAATTTAAGAGAAAATTGGGAGCTTTAAACCTAACCTATTGTTAGGGGTCACAATCGCACTTTCGAAGCAGTGAACTTGGCGATTGTGCGGCGCTTATTCTAATTCAGTGAACAAACCAATCATGTAAAAATCGAACTTTGTTGTCAATTCTAACGCATGGCGAGTCTCGAGCCACGTTTTGATAGAAAAAGTTATAAAAACGTGGTTGAGGGAAATCGTGGAAAACAAGTTGAAATTAAGTAATGCGAGAGTCAATTGCATTGAAAACATGTGGACAAGAGAAAATACAATACTTGGTTGAGGGAGGTTCGATAACTACTTGGTCTAGTAGACCCAAACATGATTTCTCCGAAGGATCGTACAAACAGAAAATACTAAAGCAATACAACATGAAAACAAATAAAGGGTTGACATGTCATTAACATGCAGCTATAGACAATACGTTCTAGACGAGCATAACCTTAACACTAGACTCGATTGAATATAATTCATATATCCTTCGTCTGGTCGAAAAGAGAGAAAGTCCAAGACAATAAACGTATAATAAACGTATACTATTTGATGTTAAGAACTTAATAGAACATGAAATATTGGGTAGATGGATAGGTAGTAATTAAGTATATGTTGACATATAATACCAACCACTTCAATTCATTTTTGCAATAATTGGCCTTCCATTTTCAAGCTTCTACAAATAATAATCTTCAATTATAATACTTTGTGTTTCAACCATTTTCAAATAATTTAGCCAAAAATTCACATACCTATCTTAATATATTATATCTAAATCAATTTAAAAAAAAAAATTAATTGACTGAATGTCTTTTGACATGGCTAATGCTAATGTCTAGGATTTGAATCAAGATTCAAAGTCTAGATTTGGCACTTGATGATCTCGATCCTTTGACATAGTTATAATTCGAAGTCCCTATGACATGGTTAATACCCAAGACATTGTTAATACCCAAGATTCAAAATCTAGATTTGTGTACATTTTTCGTGTTTTGTCCTCTCACATGTTTTATACGAAAATCTTCATGTAACACACTTAATTTTAGAGTTCTTATGACTGAGCCACCAAAAAAAGATGCATCATATTGGTATATGTAACTTGTTATCACTCTCATTTAGATACCGTCCAATTCATCCATATGCCTTTTCTTTACTCGGGGGTGTCACACTTCTATCTCTCTATCTCGACCATTTATTTCAATCAACGAAAAGTCTCCACCGATACTTGGAACGTGCCAAAAGAACCTCCAACTCCCGCAGATGGGTTGCGCATGACTACGAGCACTTGTTAAAACTAAGACAACAAAGTCTAAACTTTCCGAAAGCCCATCGCTTCGAAATTCAAGTTTGATCGAAGAAGAACACTGAAGAATGCTTGATCGTGTTCATCTTCATATTCACAAGAACACCGCCTGATCTCTACAAACACTAGAGAAAAACGTTACTCAAAACGAAAACGAAAACGAAAACGAAACCAGAATCGCAAGGAATCAAACTGCATATTATTGATCATAGTAGCCAAGTTTCCAGCAAACCAAGCAAAGAGCTTCCCTAAATCCACCGTAAACCCAACCAGCCCAGACAAACAGACGCAAAATAGAACCCAGAAGATGAATCATAGCAACAAACCCACTAAGAATTTACCCACTTCATACCCAAATCCCTAATCAGAACCTTTCGACCTTGTCGGCCTTCACCACAGGATTGGCCATGGCGATCTCCTCCCGCCCAATACTTTTGAAGTCGTAACAACAGTCGTGTTTCTCTGGGTACCGATGAATCCCACAGAATGTTCTCTCGCACTTGCACCTGAACCCCATCAATCCCACCTTCTTATTGCAGCTCCGGCACCGGTTAAGAACATCCGGCAACGGCGATTTGTTGGAACTGCTGAGGGGAATTCCAGTGGACGATGTCGATGAAGCTAATTCCACCGGTGATTCGGTGAAAACGACCGGAGAATTACCTTCAGACGGTTTTAAGATTTTCGACTGAAGGGATTTCTCCATCGCTGCTTTTGCCGAAGCCGCTTGCTCTGCTTCGATTCGAGAGTCTCTGTAGCACTTAGAGCAGAGATTCTCAGTACCGGCAGAACCAAAGAAGCCGCAGTTGTTCGCGCAGATCTTCGGCTCCGATGGCTGGTAGCTCGTGCCATCGTTCTGTTCCGAACCCATAGTTTACCAAATTCGCTGTAATTTTAGAAAAACAAAGACATAAAAATCATGGCCAAAATCAAACTTATCTGTAATCAATTCCCCTTTTCATGCTTCAAACCCTAAATTTATCAACAAACAAAAAAAAAACCCCCAATAAAATTCGATCCAGATACAGTAAGAAAATCCAGAACTCGTCAAGCAAGAGTACACCCAGAAAATTTCCTAGAAAAAATCAGAACTCGACCCAGTCCAACCAGCATCATAACTTGCACAGAATCGCAGAAACATCAAACAGAACAAAACGAAAACACCCATAAATCAGAGTAATCAAAGAAGACGAGAAACCAAGAAAAAAATTCTACAAAATTTCTCACATCCAAACATAAGCGATCTAGATTATTCCGATTACATCAAAGTCAAACAGCGTTTGAAAATCCATACCTCTTAAGCCAAGAGATGATCGAAGGAACTCAAAACTCCAAAACCCTCCCTCTGGAACACAAATTCGAATCCGGAATTAGAATATAATGGGAGATTCAGAAAAACCACAGAGTGAACTATGGAAACGAAGAATCGCAGCCAAAAACCGAGGCTAGTATGGTGAGGTTTAGGGGCTGATGGAACAATAAGGATGAATTACCAATTCAACAAGCTACCCCTTGTTTATCATTATTTCCACGGCGCACCCTTGTTTCGACGCTGGTAATGTTACAATACGCTAGATCTACAGTAGACTCAATTTTCAACCGTTAGATAGTTCACATCATTCTAATCACGGGATAATCATTTTAAACGGACGGTTGGGATGTCTGAATCCCGTACGGTTGTTTTATCATGGAGTTTTTAGTGAAGATTGGTTGAAGAACACGAAGGTGCATTTTGTAATTTAATCTTTCACATTAAAAAAAATGTTTTTTTTTTGTATGAGAATTAAATATATAATATTAAAATATTTTTTAACCTACCTTTATTTTTTATTTTTTCTTTTTCCTATCTACTTCACCTTTTCTTAGTCTGAGCCCAAACCGGTTCGTTCTAACTTAACTAATTAAACCGGTTCGTTCTAACTTAACTAATTAAACCGGTACGGACCCACCTTTCTTTGCTTTATCCAGCTGTTTAGGTGGCTATAAAATAGCTGCAGAAGTTTTTATTCAGTATTATGAATTTGTTACAACGTCGACAGTCACACATTAGGTAAATGAATCTTATTATATTTACCGTTAGATGTGTGGGTTCATGTTATTGAAGCGTCTTTAGAGACGGGGAAGCTTTTGGTTTGAACGGAAATTATTTAGAAAGAGATGGTCTTCGAGTTCTTATTGTGAACCCGTCTTACTCCAGCTTGATCAATGTATTTGATTCTTAGGCGTTGGATTATATAGTCATTTAATTTCTTTTATTTCATAATGATCATAATTAATAAGGAAATTGAGTAATAGTTTAATAATTAATGTATGATTATATTCTTAATCTAAAAGTATTAAATAGTAATTAATTTTTTAAGTTATTCTAAATTTGGTAATTAATTATTATAGATAAAATTTATTAAAAGGTTTATGTTATGCATTTTGATTATAAAAAAATTGTTAATTTTGCTAATAAAAAACATCCTTTACAAGCATAGACATATGGTTTGAAACTTTTATAATATTTATGAAAATTTTGAAAATTACCTAAAAATTAAAAAGTAAATTTCAAACAAAAAAAAAAAAAAAAAAAAAAAAAAAAAATATATATATATATATATATATATATATTATTAAGAACCTATCAAAATTTTATATTTATGATAGCGATGGCGTTATAAAATAAGTATATAATTAGTATAAATGAATTTTTATTAAAAAAATTAATTTCTAAATATATGTTCTATGTAGTTAATTTTTCATATAATTTCTAAATATATGTGCTATGTAGTTAATTTATTAATTTTTATATTTCGAAATTAATGAAAGTAAATGGTTAATTTGAAATTTAAGGCTATTTTTTTTTTTCGTAATTATGGTTTTTTTTTAAGAAATTATAATTTTGCAAATTATATAAAATTTATCTAATAGCAACTACAGCCATACAGTTTCATATATTAAATCACTAATATATTGATAATTAGTAATTTATTTATTTATTTTTTTGCTGTCATTCTAATTTGAGTTAATTTTTATTTTATTTTTTATATTCAAAATAAGTTTCATGTCCTAAATTTTCTTTAACAAAAATTTAAAAAAAGAATTAAAATTAATTGCAAAAGAAAAAGAAAAGTGATGTCATAAATTATACAATTTTATTATTTTTAATGAACTATATGTCTTGTATATAAAACATTAATATAAATTTTCTTTCAATGTCAATGTTACCTTATAATAAAAAATAAATAGTACATAATATTTGAAGTTTCACATTATATTCTTTAATTAAATTATTTTAAGTATAATTTGTTCCAAAGGTTGAATATAAGCTATCAAAATAAAATAGGTTCAATCACAGAGATTTTCTGTACATTTATTTTTTTCTTCTTTTTCAAATAAAAAAAATCCATAAAAATTATCAATCTAAAATTTTACTAGAAGTACACTAGTTGAGTTAATAATTTTTTTTTGACCAATCTTGAGTGGTTAAGTTGATGACTCGACCCCGTCAAATAGAGTTCACACCTTCAGATCTCACGTCGGTTGTAAAGAAGAACAAAAACATTCTTCATGAAGGTGTAGAAACCTCTCCCCTGCTAGACACATTTTAAAAACTCTAAGTGGAAGCTCGAAACGAAAAGTCTAAAGAGGACAATATCCGCTGATGGTGGGCTTGGGCTATTATAAATGATATCAGATCTCACGTTAATTGGAAGTTTTATGATCTAGATTGGATAGTCAAAATTAGTCAATATCTTTATTCTTAACAAGATGGATGATTAGAGATCTCTCGATTACTAACGCACCGAGCGAACGGGAAATGGAAAGAAAGTGGGAGAAAAGGAGAGTATGATTGAAATGGAAGAAGAGATAGAGAGAGGAGCATCATCATGAGCTTTGGTAATGTGGAAGGACAAAAGAAGCTCATTGCAATACAGTCACACACAAGTATACAAATTAGCATCATACCTTCATTCACACTGTGTCGAACACATTAACCCCTCAGTATGGGCTCACCTCAAGGTCCTCAATGTTCCATTTGACTCTTCCCAACTTCATATTCAAAACCAAAATAATGAAGGCGTGCTCGGGTCCATCTTTTAAGCATCTCGTCTAATAGATACTTAAGGTAAAGAGGCACATAAAAGAACCGACGACTAAAATTAACTTTGTTATTGGGAGCTCCATTATTATCTTTTAAGCCTTTCGTCTAATGGATGCTTGAAGTAAAGAGGCACATAAAAGAACCCGACCACTAAGACTAGCTTTGTTGTTGGGAGCTCCATTATTATATGGCAGTGTCACAAGTCACTAGTTATCAACAATGTCCAAGGATTTAAGCCTATATAAAGAATGCTTAATCAGAAGTCCACCAACACACTATTAGTACAATTTGCTTTCTCTATCTCTATGTGAAATCTCTCGTCGATTGAAGAGAGAAACGAAACATTCCTTCCTCTCTTTAGTAGATATGTTTTAAACCGTGAAACTGACAGCGATACATAACAAGCAAAAGCGGACAATATCTACTAATTATGAGTTTGAGCTGTTACAAATGGTATCAGAGCAGACACTGAGCGGTGTGCTAGTGGGTGGATTGTGAGAACCCACATCGATTGGAAAGGGGAACAAAACATTCCTTCCTTTCCCTTGTAAACACGTTTTAAAATCATGAAACTGACGACGATACGTAACGAGCCAAAGCCGACGATATCTACTAGCAGTGAACTTGAGCCGTTACAATGTGTCCCGTGAGTCTACACTGTCTATATAAGTATTGGCTTTAGTCCTACTGTTTCCCCTGCAACTTCCTTACATTATTCAACTAGAAAGGAAGGGCAAAAGTTAAGAAGCTGCATAGAAGAATAATGTGCATCAGTGCAACGCAGAGTATTCTGTTCCATCAAATTCAGACTTCCAAGAACAGGAGACGATCAAAAAGATCCAAACTTCAAGTTCTAAGGCTTACCAGGTTGCTTTCTTACAGAACCCACTTCACTTCTTTTATGTTTTGGGGGCCTTTTGATTCATTTTCAAATGATGGGGGTTTTGTTTTTGTGTTTATCAGGAGGAGATGTGAAGAGAAGCTGGGGAAAGACATTGAGCTGAAGAATCTGCAGCTATATCTGAAGAATCAGACCATAATCAAAGAGAATGATAAGCTGAGAGAGAAAGCCAATATCCTTCATCAAGAGAACATAGCTTTAATGACTGAGTTTCAGAAAAAATTCCCACATTTGAATCAAAGAAAATGATGAGAATCATAAGAGCTTAACATGGTTGATTATCATCAGGGTTGCTAGTCTTGCTTGTTTCATTGCTTTAGTACCTTTATTTTGCATCAAAAAAATGAAAAACTATCAATTTCTGCGATTCTCTACTCGGGTAGATTAAGAGTCTTAGCTAAACATGGTCGAAACGACCGAAGTCGTTTCGAGAAGAAAGAACTCTCAAGTTTAGTCCACAACATGATATCAACTGAGGAAGGTTCAGAAATATCCAGTTCTACTATAGAAAACTATGGAAGCTAAGAACGAACAATAATAGCAGTTCAAGTATAAGATTTACATGCTTTGGAAATTTTTCGAATTCGGTCCATAACGATAGGTATTTCGTTATCAATCAAAGTTGTAAAACAGAATCCAAACCATCCTGGTTCAATACAACTACAGCTAGAGCCAGGGGTAAGATTAACTTTACCTATATCCAACAGCTTTTCCCAGAGCTCAAGTTCGCCTTTCTCGCTGTACGAGCCGATTAGCTTGCTCATATCTGCCCAGCAGTAGAAACCTCCATTGCTCTTGATACATTTGATGTCGAGTTCCTTCAGCCCTGCAGCAAATTTACGATTCGTTTCTCCAAGCCTCTCTCGACTGATCCGAATGAACCTCTGGATGAATTGCTTATCTGAGAGCATAGAAGAAAGGAGGTTCTGGGTTATGGAAGAAACAGATGAGAACCTTGCCAGTTTTCTAGCAGCAGCCAGGATATTTTCGTTCGAAGAGTAGATTGCAGCAACTCTGAAACCAGGAAGTGACATGTCTTCGGATAGATCATATGTAATATGTACTCGATCTTGATCGCTATCGTCTAAGTCGATCATTTCAGCCATGCTCACGAATTCTTCACTTCCATAACTTGATCCTACAAGTGTTTCATTTGATATTATATGGATGTTTTTCTCCCTGGCAAACTCCAAAAGGTTGTAGAGTGTTTCTCTTGGTAGCTGGTTTCCAACTGGAATTGAAGGATTTGAGATTATAATTCCACGAACTTTAAGGCCGCGATTCCTTGCCTGGTGGAACGCTCGATCAAGAGAAGTTGTGCTTAAACTGAAGTTATCGGTACTGCGACACGGAACTGGTACTATCTCCACCCCAGTTCGACACTTTACATCGTTGTCGAGACTGCGTTTGTGATTTAGAATATAAGTTTTGTAGATGAAACTATAAAAACATATCATGATAGAGGATGAACAAGTACCCCGGGTAATATGGCGTTGGAACGAGAAACGCTTGTCCTGGGTCAGCTATGCAAAAGCAAAGTGTTTCAATTGCAGAGGTCCCTCCAGTTGTTAATACTAATTGTGAAGGGATGAATGAGACAGAGTTCCCTACAGCTTGAGACATGAAACTTGCCACAGCCTGTGGTACTCACCAATCAAATCTTCCATTATAAGGAGCTCCATATGGTACTCACCAAGCAAATGCAATACAATAAACAAGAGGTACTGGTACTAGCATAACTTCAATGAGGGGTTGGGTGGGGGTGGGGCGGATAAGTAATCAAAATGGCAATGCCTACAAGTTATGGAGGAAGTTCTAACATCTTCTCTAACAGGTTAACAAAGCTAACAGTAAAGTTATTAATATGAAAAAGGGAATGCTTTCAGGAGATATAAATATCTGGATCAAACATTAACATCGGAGGAGCGTTGGAAAAGTATTCATAATTTCCTTATCGGAAATGAAAGGTCTAGCTCAAAGGTGACACTGAATTGAATACACTTGTGAAATCCCACGTCGGTTGGGGAGGAGAATGAAACATTCTTTATAAAGGTGTGGAAATCTCTCTCTAGCAGACACGTTTTAAAAACCTTGAAGGGAAGCTCGAAAGAGAAAGCCCAAAGCAAGGACGCTGTGGCCCCAAAAGGGGGTGGATTGTGAGATCCCACGTCTGTTGGAGAAGAGAACGAAGCATTATTTCTCAAGGTGAGGAAACCTCCCCCTAGCAGACGCGTTTTAAAAACCTTGAGGGAAAGCCCGAAAAGAAAAACCCAAGGAGGACGATATCTGCTAGCGGTGGGCTTCGGTTGTTACAACAATAGACCATGTTAACCATTATACTCATCATCTATATTGAAATCTCACCACTTCATTCAGTATAACTTTCACAATGGTGTTCCAAGGTTGATTCAACAGAGTTTGTGCAGTATCTAAACACAACCAAAGAACAGTTTCTGCAGTCTCCAAAAGCCATTCATAAATCATACTAAGAACAATAATCAATAATGAATAAAAACAGAGCCAGTCAAACTTCTTCAGCTACTAAATCTCTCCATGTCAAAAATGAATTCATACAGGCAAGTGGAAACGCAGCTAATTCAAAACATTAATCATAGAGAGAAGACAAAAATTTGATTACCAGTTTCAAATCCGGCAATCCATCTGAAGGCTGGTAACGAACAGTCCCAGCTACACTCAGCTCATTATGATTCCCTCCTCCAAATATAGCATCCCTTCCATTCTCCGTCAGCCAATTTTGCACCAAGTCGGAGGATAACTTCATCGTTTAATTAAACATCCACAATCATCAACACAGAAACACAGAAACCCATAAATAAAGAACACTAATCTTGCTGACACATATTCAAACCAACAAAAAAGCATAAAGCTACCCACCTTATTCTCAGCAACAGATAGCTGAATAATCCCTGTCGGATTATCCAATTCGTCAAATGAGTCCTCCAAGAACCTCCTCATTCCAACGAAAATCGGAGAATCCCCAATTCTAGCAATCGAATTAGCCCGACCCGAAACGCAAACATGCCCGCTCGACCTCGGCGAGAGGAAGGTCCGAGACAATGTTCGAGGCAGCACAGAGAGCTCCACTAACTGATTACTCGACGATAACGATGAGTTCCCCGAAGAATCCGCCTCCGGCGACGGCGGAGAGTCCCGGGTCTGGTCTGACCGATTTCGTTTCAAGTAGAGCTGAAGAAAGTAGAAAAGAACGCACGGTATAACAGAGCCCAAAACAACGCCGCCTCTTCCTTGAACGACGCTTTGCAGAGGTACTACGACTCTCATGGCGGCTCTTCCACCACAGCTAGTGGTGGCTTCTGCTTCTTCGTCAGTTTTAGAATTGCGCGTCCGGAATAATCGACTCTGGGTCATTGCAGAGTCATTTCAATTCGCCGGAACCGAAGAGAAACCGCCGCCAAGATGGCACAAGGGACTTCGTTTCCCCGACACTCGACGGACGAGCAGAGTCCCGGCGGACAAAGTTGAATTATTCGAACATTTTCTTTCGAAAATAATTTCAAAAAAAATAAAAGAATTTATTATTTTATATTACATCGGGATTTTCCGCGCCGATTCTTTTGGCTTTAAGGCGGAGCTGAATTAATTCGGACTTGGAAGGATTTAATATTTTACGATAATACCCTTTGCGTAATCTTCAAATTTTTGTTTTGTCTTCTAGTGCGAGAGAAATAGGCTGTATTTTATTTTGCATAAGCCAAATTTATTTTCAATAATCATTTATTAGAAAATATAAAATAAATATAATTACATTCCATAACAAATTTCATTTTTTATACTATTTCTATTATTTTCCTAAAAATAGAGGTTTTAAAAAATGGTAAGTTGGGAATTAAATTTTGTAACAATTTAATATATAATAATTTAGTTCGTATAATTGTAATAATGGTAAGAAAAAATATATTTATTAATATTTAATAAAGGTGTATGCGGGTTAGGTTGGACTGATATTTTTTTTTCTTTCTTGATTAACTTGTAATTTCGGGCTAGTTGGATTAGTGACTCAAACTACTCGAATATAGTTCACAACACAACCCAGTAGATTGGGTTGGGTTGTCGAAGTTTTTTTTTAATCATTTAAAAAAATCATATTTATCAATAATACATGTTACAATAATATCTAAAATATAAAAAATTTATAATTCACAACGTTTAGTTCTTTTTTATAATATTAAAAATAATATACGAAACAAATTATTTCTATGAATTTTTTGTAATTAAAGGGCGTTTTTAAGGGTTTTCTATTCTTGTAATAGTGACATAATTAAAAGTTTATAGGAAATTTTTAACATAACCGATAAATTTTGATCAAGAGAGATAAAATTTAAAATATTCGATCGATAATGAAGAGGTACAAAGCTGGAGCATAGTTGGCACAGTACTTAACAAATTATTAACATCCTTCGTTATGAACACACATAAGATGACATAGAAAAAAACCTTATTCGGTCCAAAACCAAAACCCTATCTTTTCTTGTTGTCGGGACCATGGCATGAAAGGGCTCAATAAATAGTGTCTATAAATACCCATGCCACCAAAATGGTATCTCAAAATGGCCGACCTCTCTCGTCTCCTCTTCTTCTTCCTCGTCGTTCCCATATTTTTGGTTCGTGAGGTTTCGGCAATAACCAATCATACGGTCGGGGATCAGAGTGGTTGGACCACTGGAGTCGACTACTCGTCTTGGGCTGCTGGCAAAACGTTCTTCGTCGGTGATTTCCTAGGTAACCTTGTTCATGTTTTGTTGTTAGTTTGTCGTTAATTGTTGTATTCGACTTTTTTTTTATTGTTTCGAATCGGAATGAATCAAAGATGAAGAAAGAGTTTAATTTTCAAACCATAATTTTACTTTCTTAGTTAAGAATTTTTAATATAGGCCTACTGCTAATAGATAGCTTCCCCTTAAGGTTTTTAAAAGGTTTTCACAATCTCTCTCATAATTCACCCACTTTTGAGGCCACCGTCCTCACTGACACTCGTCCTCCTCTCCATTCGATATGAGATCTCACAATCTATCCCTACAGAGTCCAGCGTCCTCGCTGGTACACCGCTCAGTGTTCTATTGAGAGGTTTCTACAATCACTCTCACAATCCACCCCTTTGGCCCCAGTGTCATTGCTGACACTCGTTTCCCTCTCCAATTGATATGGGATCTTAGAATCTACTCCTTTAAGGCCTAGCGTCCCTGTTAGCACAACGCTCGATGTCTAGCTCTGATATCAACTGTATCAGCTAGAGTCCACCGCTAGCCGATGATTGTAATCTTTCGACTTTCCATTTTGAGCTTCTCCTTAGTTTTTAAAACTTTATGTTAGAGAGATTTTCACACC